CATTTGGGGCTATCTTGGAGGCAAGTAAGTGATCACACCTGGGAAGAAATCAGGCCAGAGACAGCTCCAGAAGCATAAGTACTGACAAACTGAGGGGTTAAAATAACAAAGTGGCAACTTTCTAGATAGCTTTAGTCAAAAGGACCATAATTAATGTCAGCAACTGAAACTAATTTGTTAAAGTACAAACTTAAGGTACAGGACTCTACAATAAAAAATAGTGAAGCTTTCATCATAAAATCTCAGGATTTGAAAGTGAATTATCATCTACCCCATACATGCCTTCAGGGAACACCCCACTCAAGCTAACATAGACAAATGAGAATCTATCTTACTTAGAATAATTTGACTAAACAAATTATTTCCTTGATTCATTACACTGATTAAGAACTCATTCATATTTATCCTAAATGTCTCATTATATAGGATAGAAATTTCATTATTTAACTTTTTCCTCTCTACAGATTGAAAGTGCCTTTATCTCACTCAAAGATGAGATAAATTTTTCATTTTATGTATATATTTTATTATGTTCATTATCTTAATGATAGCATATTATCAGCTCTCCCCAAATCACCTTTTACAATGTCCATGCACTTTTGTTTGTAGGACTATATTTTTTAAAAACCTCTAGTACCCAAAACATTTTCTGGCATACAATAGGGGCTCGATAAAGATTTGTTAAAAGTGTTTGAATAAAATCCCTTGAATAGAGAAATGAGTCATACTTAGTTTGTGAAATTGTTACATGTGTCTCCAGAACAGGAGTAGTTAGTCCATGTCGTGGTTATTACTGAGGGCAAAAATAAATGCTGAGCTGAAAAGTGTGAAGAAGTAATGACCTTAAAGGGGGGTAGACCAGGAGCTATTCCAAGAAACTCAAGAAGTATTACATTAGACGTACAAAGCTAAGTGCCTGAAGTCAAGAGGGCGAGCATCAGTGAAAGTGAGTCCAGAGCAATTAGTAGCAATTAATGGCAGTGTCAGAATGATTGACTAGACAATTGTTAAAATTATTGTCAGTAATAATTATTAAGAGGACAGAAGAATCATATTATCACATGAGAAGGTTATATTAAAAAGTCAGTAAACATTATTTTTAAAAATCCCTTAAGTCATTCATAAAGTATACTATCATGGTTTGATAAATAGAATGCAAAAATAATTAGGCAAAAAATGCATAATTTGCACAGTAATCTATATTATGTAATAAAGCATATCTATACAAAAATGATTTGAGAGTATTTTCAATTATGGGAGACTGTGTGCATAGCGGCAAGATGAAATTCTTTCTCATCAAGCGGATGGCCTTTCTATGGGGAAGATTTGAATGGCATATAGAGGTTCCTTGTCCTATAACCTTTGTCATTAAAAGGTACATGTGTACAGTTTGTGTCTTCCATTCATGTCACTAAAGTCTAATTTATAAACTTGGCTCATTGTGTTAGCACATTAAGGAATGTGTGGGAAACAGGTACAATCTCTCAATATAAATACTAACGCATATACCAAACAAATGTTGGTATATAGACCAACATATTGGACTCTGAATCAAGAGCATCATTAAATTTAAAGTCCTGAAAGGGTATTGAAATATTCAATTCCCTGGAAAGAGGTAACAAAGTAATAACATTGACAGAAATCCAAAGACAGTTTGATGGGGTTAATAATAATAGTGGGGGATACCAATATTCCTCTCTCAAGAATTAATAGATTAATAAGAAATTAGAAAGAATACAGGAATGAGCAAATATAATTAAGAAGCTTGATCCAATGAATATATATTGTGCCTTGGAAATACAAATTCTTCTCAAGCACATATAGAATATTTATTTTAAGTGGCCAAAAATTAAATAAACAAATTTGAAATAACGTATGTAATAAAGATCTCATCCACTCTGTGATGCAATTTAGAAAACAATAACAACAACAAAAAAATTCATAAATTTAAATATGTACTTTTAAGTTTATTAATCAAAGAATTTAGAGAATACTATAAAGGTAATAAAAAGATATAATAACACATATGGAATATGGCCAAAGTTATTCCTAAAGGGAAAAATATAGCCTCACATGTATAAATTAGAAATAAAAGACTAAAAATTAATGTGGCAGGCATGTCACCATTTCTTCTATGCCATTTTATTTTGTTTTGTCCAACTTATGAAAATCGAGGATAATAAGAGGAAGAAAAATCAATAGCATTCTGGAAGAACAACAAACAAGTTCTAGATCCTCTGATTTGTCCTTATCATGGTACTTACTATTCACTGAGCACATTCTATGAGTTTTGCACTGGGAAAAATACTTAGCTGCATTACAGTTGTCCCTTGTTATCTGCAAGGGATTGGTTCCTGGACCTCCAGAGATAACAAATGTCAGAGATTTGAAACTCCTTACATAAAATGGCACGGTATTTGTATATAGCATATGCACATCATCCTTAAATCATCTACAAATTACTTATAATAGTGCAATGTAAACTATGTAAATACAGTCATGAATAGCTTAATGACTGGGGGAAATATGTTCGGAGAAATGCGTTGTGAGGCAATATCACGTTACCACCAACTGCAGTAACACGGTGTACAGGTTTGTAGCCTTTGAGCAACAGGCTGTCCCCTATAGCCTAAATGTGTAGTAGGCTCTGCCATCTATGTTTGTGTAAGTACACTCTAGGACGATCCTATAACAACAAAATCACCTAATGCTGCATTTCTCACAATATGTCCCTTTGTTGTTTTTTTACTGTGTTTTCAAAAATATTTAGATCTGTGGTTAGTTGAGTCTGTGGATGCATAACCTAGGGATACAGAGGACCAACTCTATTTTGTTTAATCCTCACACCAGTGACACAAGAGTACTATCATACCCATTTTGCAGATATAGAAATTACAGTTCGAGAATGAATCTATGAGAACTTCAGATGTAGTCTTTCTTTAGTCCCTTCTGTTTACAACAGAAGTGAGTATACTTCAGTATACTTCATCCTTAAATGGTTACTAGAGTTGATACTGAAATAGGATAGTTCCCATGACCCTTCTGCAGGACTCAGGGAGGGGCTGGCTTGTTTAGTCAGCCCACAGCTTTCAACCCCTCATGGGAGCAGGGACATGCGGGTGAGTGGGTGTGGGCAGGAGTAGAACTCTGTTAACCCCATGGAAGTGTCTGGGGGTTACTCATGTAATATTGGGGTTCAGGGTGCCCTCAGCTCCCCTGAGAGGACGTTTCTCCAGGGTTTTGGTCTCCTGCCCTCTCAAGAATGAGAGAGGGAACCACGGCGCATGCACAGTAAATGCCGGACTTAAAAGTGTTTGTAGAAAGTGATGTATTTAGGGAGAGAGAGAGAGAGAGAAACCGGAGAAGGAGAGAGAAAGAAACCGCGAACTCTCACACTGAGTGAGAGAATCCATGATACCGCGTCAGTTTAAAAGCTGCGTTGGCAGCTGCTGCTGGGCCGCCTGTGAGTTCCCCCACCCCGGAGCTTTTGGTCGCCATGTTGACCCCACCAGAACCACAGGCGTGGTTGGGACACTCCTCAAGATGCTGCCCACGCTGGGACCCACGGCCAGCAGGCAAACGCCCTGGGGAAGCCTTTTTTACACTGCTGCCTGGGACTGGGAGCACCGGAGAGGCCTGCCAGAGCCAAGCGCCAGGCCGCCAGGCTCCAGGATCTCCTGCACCTCAGGCTGTACCTCGCCCCTCCCCGCTGTTTTCTCCCGCCCCGGGAGCCGCTTGCTGCGCAGCTGCTGCGGGAGGTCCCAGTTCCGGTTCTCGGGCTGGGCTGTTCCCAGCCGGCTAGAAGCGAACAGCCCTGGGGGCAGTGCTCACCTCCTCCGCCCCACAGGCTGCCGCAGATTTGGGTCCCAGAGATAACATCCGAAGGATAGAGAAGGAGACGGAAAGCAGAGAGAGAGCTTGGAGGTAAAACAAAAACAAAAACAAAAAAAAACCGCTCCTTTAATTCAGCTTAAGACAGGCTGGGTCCTGCCTCCCAGGTGCCAGTTCAGGTTCCCCACAGCCCTGCCTGGCTGCGCCGCTTCAGGTGTTCTTAAAGAGACAGGACAAAATGGGGCCAGTTTTACTCACGATTGTGAAATCTTCTTTGGCCGTACTCCTTTCCTGGCTGTACTCCTCTTCTGGCTGTACCCCTTTTTCTGGTGTACCCCTCTCCTGGCTGTCTCGCCAGAATGTAATATTGGGGTTCAGGATGCCCTCAGCTCCCCTGAGAGGACGTTTCTCCAGGCTCTTGGTCTCCTGCCCTCTCAAGAATGAGAGAGGGGACCACGGCGCAGTGCGCAGTAAATGCTGGATTCAAAAGTGTTTGTAGAAAGTGATTTATTTAGACAGAGAGAAAAACGGGAGAGAGAAAGAAACGGCTAACTCTCACACTAAGTGAGAGAATCCAGAAAGATGGAATCCAGGAGAGGAAAGCAGCTTCCACACTGTGTGGAAGGGAATAGGGAGAGATGGAGTTTAGGAAGGGAAGACAGGCTTCCATGAGAGAGTATGGAAGGGGACTCCAGAGGGAAATCCAGGAAAGAGAAAGATGGTTCCTCGAAGGAAGTGTATGTGGAAGGGAATCCAAACATGGAGTTCGAAGGGGTGTGGAAGAAGGGGAGGAACCCCCACCTTCTCCAAGTCCCTGGACCAATGAAAGGAGTTCCTTAGAACTTCCGCTGGAGTGATTGACTTTTAGTTTCTTCCAGTACCCATGAAATTCAAATATAAACCATTAAATCTCCCAGATGGAGAGAGATGGGAAGGGGGCATGGGGCTGGGAAATTTTTGCCCTTAAAACTATGCCCCCTCGTGGACCCAGAAAGAGAACACATTCCCTCACTCAAAATCCCTGGAACCCCAGAAGGCATCTGTTACAGTGCTCTTTTGGCTTTGCTATTGTTGTCCTGGAGTGAGCATAGAAAGTCAACACCAAGACAAAAGTATGCCAAATTGCAGGGTCTTTATTGCTGGCGACCATGGAGGACTTGCGTCTCTCCAACCCGTGGCCCCGAAAGGAGGGTGTCAAGACCTTTTATACCCGTAAACCTCCTCCTGGGCAGGGGTAAGGGCGAGGGGCTTTGGACATTCCGAGGGCCAGTGGACTTCGGACATTCTGTAAACCTCCTCCTAGGCAGGAGTGAGGGTGAGGGACTTTGGACATTCCAGGGGCCAGTGGATATTCTGTAAACTACCTCCTGGGTGGGGTGAAGGTGAGGGGCTTCAGACATTCTGATTGTTACTTAAATGGTTCACAGAAGTCAAGATAAGCGTTAGTTTACACATTGTCTGGGTATGGGTGGAAATTGCAGACCTTAGCTACTTATTACAAGTCGCAGGGGCCAAGATGGCATGGGTTTGGACTGCTTGCCTTGTCATATCAGGGTTACAGAGAGCAGTTTGAACAGAAAGTCGAGGTGTGGTTGAGGTATGCAGTTTTATCGGGCTTTTACCATGTCATAATATCTGCAGATGACTTTTAAGTGTTTAACTGTTCAGTGTGACAGCCCTCCTCTTCCCAAGCTCTTCTTTAGCCTCCAGGAAGAATCAGGTCATATGAACAAATCAAAGATGGTAAATGCGGGAGATTTTATTGCTGATGAAAATAGATCTAAGCAGAATGGAGAGCTAGGAAGGGGTTGGAGTGGGAACGTGGTCTTCTTCTGAAGTTCAGCCATCCCTGGCCAAATTATTCTCTGAGGTCCCCACCACCAAGCCACCCCTCTGAGGTCAAGCTGCATCTTGCTGATGTTAGGTTGCTGCTTCTCTTTTTTCCTTCTCTGCCACTCTGCCACTCCACTGCTCAGCTGCAGGTTTTTATGGTATAGGATGAGGGGTAGGACAGGCCATAAAGCAACATTCAAGCAGGAAAACAGGAATGCACGTTCTCACTTTGGGCCATGGGTCCAGGCTTGAGGTTGGGGCTTCACCAGGGACTCTACACTTTTCAGCCTGGTATTTTCCTGCCTCCTGTCCTTCGCTCCTATCACTTCCCCCCTCTGAAGAGGCACATCTAAGTACCATCAGAATATGGAAGATGATCAAGCTTAGCTACTTCCTGCTGACGGAGGCATTGTTTTTGGGAAAACTGCTGTCAGATTTCTCCCTGAGGTCTACCTAAGGGTCCCTGGCAAAAGGGATCAATTGTCCAAGGCTCCAGTTGCCTGACTTTTTGGAGTTTGATGGCCTCTAGATGAAAGAGGAAAACAAGCAAATTTTACAAGATTAAGTATGGATGGGTCAAACATGTGTATTATACAAGGAAAGAATCTAGTGCCAAAGATTACGGAAATAAGAAATGAAATATGCTAACAACATTGTACCCCAAGCTGTTTCACTTTAATGAAAGAAATTAAACCTTGCCAGGGAGCAGTTAAACTTCATAAGAGGGTGAACTATTCTTGCCACATCTGTAGCAGTCAACAGGTGCATTGGGAATTCTGGGGTTTATGGGATTGCATGGTGGCCATTAAAGTTTCTACCTCTTTCTTGTGTCTCCCTAACTCTATTAGAAAAACCGAGTTGGTCACTTTCAGGAAGTTCTCTAAAGTACTATCTGGTCCCAGAGCCTGTTTCTGCAGCTTCCTCCTTATATCAGGGGGTACCTGAGTAATAATTTTGTCCTTTAGGATTAGTTATGCTTCACCAGAATCAGAAGATAGAGATGTGAACTTTACCAAGGCCTCTCTTATCCTTTCCAGAAAAGCAGTGGGATTCTTATCAAATTCCTGATCTACCATGAATAGTTTGATATAGTTGAGAGGCATGGTCCAAGTCCTGTGTAAACCCTGCATTTTGCACACCTGAAAGTGCCTCCTCTTCCATTCTCCCATCTCATCACTGGGATCCATTCCAGGTTCATCCATTGGTACTGCTTCTCTTCCATATGGATAATGTTTGGTACCTTCCCTGATGCTATATGTGATACAAAGCTCACAACCAAATCTCTCTGCCACTTGCAGAGCAGTCTGCTTCTCAGTGTTAGTCAGGGTTTGATTTATAAGTAACATAATGTCTTTCTAGCAGAGTTCAAATATTTGGGTTAAATTCTGGAAAGCCTCTATATATCTGTCTTATGTATATCTATATATACATCTGAAAACTTGCCAAGATCTCCCTTACTTTATCTTAAGCACTATAGATAGAAGGGGACCTGGGCCTTACTGGGGCCAAATTCACCAGGCATCTGTTGGAGGGGCAAGAGTGAGACTGGGGCTTGTCTGGGATATTTCTAGAAGGGGGCAAGTGGGATAGAGGATGGGGAAAACCCAGAGGAGCAGGACCGGAGGGAGCTGGCTCCCCTGCTGGAGGTGCCTCTGGGGTTTGTTTCTTTAGTTCCCTGAGATTGCCCCTTGCAGCCATTCTTGAGATGGTCAGTAGGAGGGATAGGTCAATGCTACACTGTCAGCAAAGGTATGGTTTGCCCTGCAAGGTAAAGAAAGTTTGTGCATATGTGGTCTCTGACAATTTGTCATTGCATTTGCAGAAAATGTCCAACTGCTAGATGATAACGAAATGAGTGGTTCCTTCCTAAGACCAAGCCAGTCCTTCATAATTTGGCCACACCTTTGTGCAAAGGGCTAATAGGCATTTTCCTCCAGATTATGAGGGTCAAAGCAGTACCAGTGATACAAGATGCACTCAAGAACAGTATAAAGTGGTTACAGTGGAGACAGTTGGCTGCCCATTCTGAAAGACAAGGAAATAGGTATCTCTCATTTCCCTTCATTCTGTCAGCAAAAACTTGGGGTGTGAGGGAGGGAAAGCAGGCATCCTCCCTTTCTTTTCTGCCTCCTTATCCCTAAGTCATGGTGACCTTAGACAGACACCAACCACAGGTGCCATTGCAGCCTACACCAATGAAGCAGGGAGGCCCAAGAGAATAGGAATTATTCACATTCATGTACACCTCCATTCCCCCTACTGTCAGCAACCTTTGGGTTTCCTGGGCCTTATCTGTGCCATGGACCATGGACTCCTTCCATGACATGGAGACTCAATTGGGAGAAATTGGTCCTGCCCATTTACATTGTGCCTGTTTTCTTGCTTGGATCCCTCAGATCTGGCTTTCCTTCCTAGGGCCTCAACCTGAAGCTTGGAATCAAGGTTGAGACAAAAAGGTATTTCAGGGTCCTTTTAGATTAAGTCCCAAATGGTCCCTGCCAGATTTGCAGTTATCAGCCAGCAGGGCTCACTCCTCTGTTGTCTCCCTAGCATAAGCAGAGTGCAGAGGTAGGAAAAGAAACCCTTCACTTAGAAAAGGAAAAATGAACAAAAACAGCTTAAAAGGCAAAAGGGGGTGGTCCAGGAAAAGAGCCTCTTGCTCTCTACAAATAGGTTCCTTTAATCACTCTATCCCTCTCATAGTTCCAACCGGGCTAAACTCCGTGACCAGGGGAGGAAAGACTCTATGGGCTGCTGACAGGAAGGAACAGCAAGCAGGGAGCACTGGCCAGCCAGCTGCATGGGGTCCCTGGCGCAGAAGACTGTGCTGGGGCCTGGGCAGTGTGCACAGCTAACTCCCATTCTACTTGGCTGTTGGGCACAGCACATGCATGTTATGGACATGCCCACGTGCCCAAGCCTGAAAAGGTGGGGGTGAGAAGGAAAACCACCATTTACCTGCCCATCCTATTCACACACCTGTGGCCATTGGGGTTTGGGGTCACACCTTTAGGAACATATGGAAATAGTATTGTTCTGAGTTGCATATCTGATGGCCGGGCCCAACATACATTCTGCCTAGTGTCATTGCTGCAGTTTGTAGTAGAACACTCTTAACATTGTAAAAGAAGAGCTACCAGCCATTACAAACCATGAAAGAAGGAAGAAAAGATATTATAGAAAAAGTCTGGGGTTCTTGGCTGATGCCTTGACAGGTGCTTGGGGAGCAGGTTCAGTCTTGTGGCCTCCCGGCAACACTGAGGAGTGGCCCTGGCAACAGGCCTTCAGTTTCCCCAGGACTTTATTCCAGTCCCACATGACAACTAGACCTCCATGAAGGAAAATAGAGCCAACATTCCTTTTACCCCCAAAAAGAGAGATTGTAGGATTTCATCCTATCCCCTGCAAATGGCATAGCTCAAAGGAAAGTCTGAGGACAAAGAGAGACAAATCCACATTTTGCTTCACCTTCTGAAATATCCTGGGCAGATGAAACATGATAGTTCCCTTGACCCTTTCACAGGATTCATGAAGGGCTTGGCTCATTTACGCAGTCCAAGCTGTCAACCCCTCACAGGAGGGAGAGCATGCAGATGAGTGGGTATAGGGGCCAGGACAAGTGCTTCTGGGTGCTGACAGGAGTAGAACAACATGTGGCCCCATGGCAGCATCTTGGGAGTACCTGCAATCCCTGGCGCCCCAGAGGGCATGTATTACAGTGCCTGTTAGCTTTGTCATCCACAAATGGCTTAAGTGTTTTAACAGCTCTCTGTATCCTGAGCTCTTGTTTGGAGTCAGGAAGAATCAGGTCACACGAACAAATCAAAGATGGTAATGTGAGGGATTTCACTGCTGAGGAAAGTGGCTCTCAGTGGGATGGAAAGCTGGAAAGGAGAGGGAGTGGGAAGGTGGTCTTCCCCCGGAGTTTGGCTATCCCTGGCCAAAATCTTCTCCAAGATCCCACTGTCAAGCTGCCCCTCTGAAGTCAAGATGCTTCTTGCTGACCTCGGGCTGTTTCCTCCCTTCTTTCTTTTTATGCTGCTTGTCTGCCATTGGAGCCTGGGGTTTTTATCGTTATAGGATGGGGGTGGGTGGGCCAAAAAGCAACATTTGAGTGGAAAAACAGGAATGCAGGTTCTCACTTTGGGCTTCAGGTCCAGGCTTGAGGGTGGGGCTTTGCCAGGGACCCCTCCCTTTTCTGCCTAGTATTGCCCTGTATCAATACCAAATTCTTTTATTCTAATTATCACATTAAATTGTTAGGCAACAGTACATACAAAAGATCAAGAGATAACAGCTATAAAAACTAAAAAAAAAAAAAAAAAAGATACCTCAAAATGTTAAGAACATTTTATTTTAAAAGACCTGTTTGCTGTTTAGATATTGTGTGGGAAATTTTGCTACTCGCAGAGAATTTCTATTATATATGTATATTTGTAATATTTTAAATTGATGTTGCTTTTACTTATTAAGTTTTTTTTACAAGATTTTACAGTTTTGTAAGAAGGTGAGTGTGTGTGTTTAATGTTGGAAAGCTCATCAGGTATTGTGTACAAACATGTTTTACATTTAAATAAAAAATATTCAAGCATGATATTTACTTTCCAGAACTTCTCTGAAATATTAGCACTATTATTGGTTATCCTATGAGTTCATTAAATGTT